TGTATATATTAGTTACCCGTATTTTATTTGAAATGTAATATAGATTAAAGATGGAAAAATGAATGAAAACAATTGAAAAAAAGAGTGACAATAAAGGTGGGTGACTCCCACGAAAGACAAAAAAAAAATCCCAGTATATAATATGAGGCCGTTACTTTACTTAATATATGTGTAGAATTAGTGACACCCTCCAGTTGGTATCCTTTGCCGATGATACAACGGGTTTTTTTTTTTTAATTCAAATGAAGACCTCAATCTTTTGTTCAATAGGTTTAATAATGAGTTCAAAAAATTGGTTCTTGGTTCAATGCAAATAAGCTTCTAATTAATATTCAAAAGACTAACTATATTTTATTTCATTCACACCATAAGAAAGTAATTTTTTCAAACTTCAGCATTATTTTTAATGAAAATCATATAGAACGTAAATCTAATACTTCGTTTTTAGGAGTATTCATCGATAAAAATTTAAGTTGGAAATTACACCAAAATTATGTTGCAAGCAAAATGTCCAAATAAATAGGCATAATAAACAAACTTAAGTTCTTCCTACGCAACACTTTAATTACTTTATACAATTCTCTTATTCTTCCTTATTTGCAGTATTGTAACTTAGTATGGGCCTGTGACTATTCTTCGAACCTCTGGATAAATTACTTAACCCTTAGCCTACGAATTTCCTGATAATACTATAGTTTCATAACCGGATTAATTTTCAGAACTGCACTTTTTTGATGTTTTTAGAGATTGCTCACTTCAACTGAGTTTTTTGTCACTTTCTGTTGAGTTTAGAGAAAAATGTTTAAAAAAACAAATGTTCCTTATTAAATTTGCTATCTTTTGGTATATAAATGATATTTTTATGATATATTTTAGTGTATTTCAACTGTGAATAAATATGTAGTAAAATATGAAACAATTTTTGTTCGGATTTTGTTGGACAGTTTAGAGTAGACATTTTTATATCTATTATTTCAACACATGTATCCATACAAAATACATAAAAATGATATATAGCATTGTTCCTTATTAAATTTTCTATCTTTTGGTATATAGATCATATTTTTATAATTTTATATATATATATATGAAAACTGAAGAAAAAGTAGTAAAAATGAAACAATTTTTTGTTCGTTTTTTTGTCAGTCTAGAGAAAACATTTATTTGTGTATTTATTATGATAGATGTGTTGAAATAATACATATACAATGATATATGATAAAGTTTTGATCATCATTAGTCTGGCCTCCAGCTGATTAGAGACACACAAGCCCCACTACCACGTCAAGGTTGATGATTATAGTGAGGAACAGGTGGCACATGTTATGCGCCCCTTCAGACCAAAAAAAATAGAAACACAAGCATTGCAATTTACATAAGAATGGTATACAAACAAAAACATATTCAAACTAACTAATTATCTTATTCTTACTGTTATACTTACTTTGAAATACAATTTAGTAGTGGTAGTCCATGTGCAATCGGCTTAGAGAAAAAAAAGCAAATAAACATAAACATATTCAATTATATTATTTTGAATTAATTGAATATTTACATACATTTGAAATACTCACAGTTTAGTGGTGGTACTCTGTGGTGCAATCTACTTTGTAATTGACGAGAGTGTGGTAGCGGGCAAAGCATGGTATGGCGCACATCGGCAGGTCACATTCCTTACACATGCAGTCGGTTTGATGGCGCTTCACATTCCTATTTGAACACACTACGCAGTCAGGTTTGGATTGCCTTCCAGCTGGTGTCTTCTTTTGGCTGAAGGCTGGAAAATGTCTTTCAGTTAGCCGTGTTGGTGGACCCACTGATCTCCTCCCTGGATGAGATGAAGGTCGTGTGTATGTTTCGAGCAGGCTGTTTATAAGCTCGAGACGTAGATGATCGGCGCTTACTCGCTGACCAGCACTGAAAGACCTGTAAATAATCAAAGCAATAATCAAAGCATTAATCCAACTTACCTCTATAAGGTAAATGAATACTTTCTTCCACCATTTGAGGCTCCTGTGAATATGAAGACGTGTCCAAATCAATCTGTCAGCCTTGTCTACCCCTCCCATGTATTGTGTGTAAAGTTCAATGGCACACGGCTTGGTAACTTCACGAAAATTTGGTCCATGTTTTTCCCTTGTCCGCCACTGAAAAGTCAAAGAATTATGCACAGAAGACATTAGTGTTACCTTTTTTGTGTTTGCTCTGTCCTTCCATGAAATGAAAAGTTGATTATCAGCATCAATCCTCTCAACAACTGGAATTCCAGGAGCAGGGTTTGCATGTTTGATGACGTCATGGTACTCCTACAGTTGTCAGAATTATTTATTTAGCTTCATTTGCATCGTCTTCTGAACCTATGTTTAAAAAACTAAATATATTAAAAAGTATGGATCTAAACAAATTACAAGTTACTTCTTTTATGCTTCAATACATAAAAGGTCAACTCCCAACATCTATATTAGGTTTATTTCATGATTATAAACCTACACACAGTTATTATTTTAAAAATTCAAACTCACTTTACGTTCCTTTTGTAAGACTAACTAAAAGCCATTTTTTTAATTTCTGTAAACGGACCGAAATTAAGGAATGACACTCATGTTAAGTTTAAAAATTGCAATAGAGCCCATAATTTTAGAAAGCAGATGAAGAAATATTAATTAGAAATGTACAAAATCTTAACTTTATCGAATTATTTTAGTATGTATATTCTGTGTGAATTATGTGGTGTGTGTGTGTTTACGTATGTTTGTGTGTATGTGTATTTGTGTGTATGTATGTGTTTGTGTACGTGTGTGTGTGTATACATGTGTATGTATATGTGTACATATATATGCACGCATGCATATAATATATGTGTGTATATATATATTTAAATGTATATATACTTGATATGCATTTATTGTTATTAGTTTTTTTTAACTTTTTTTTGTCTTGTCGGGATCAAATTGAAACAAGCTTTGCTTCTATTTTTTATCCTAATTAATTAATTTTAATGTTGTCCACTTTATTTATCATTTTATGTATTTTATTAATTAATTGAATAAATGTTAATTGAAATTGAATTGAATTGATAACGTGTGCGTACGCATGCGTCAGAATCTATATATGCTTAAATCACCACCTAACTCGTCATCAGTGAAGAGTTAAAATCTAGTTATTATTATTATTATTATTATTATTATCTATTTCCAGAAGTATGAGTCTGAACCGTATCGATCTGAGCTCACAACAAAATAGAAACGTGTTTCCCCATTCGCTGCGGCTGTTGTTTATAGGCAAAAATGAAATACAATCAATTTCAAGAAAGCATTTCTGTGGATTAAGATCCCTGACAGTGTTGTAAGTTTTCAAAAATCTATAACAGACCTAGTAGATACAAATAAATAAATGAGTAAGTAAATAAATAAATAAATGCGAGCATGGTAGCGTAGCAGTGCTGCTAGGTTTTGAGGTTGTGAAACGTCTTTCTTTCTCTTTTCCTCTTGTTGTTTTGGACAGACGTAATGATGTAGAGCTAATAAAAGGTAAAGCACACTCCGAGAGTATATACCTCTGCCTTCCTCTTATTTCTCTGTATATATTTCTCACGCATGTTTTTTTCATGAAAATTTTTGTGTTATTTTGCTTAAATGTGACGTCAAAGTGTTTTTTTCGTTAGTTGTGGCCTTGACCTTTGATCATGACCTTTAAAATTTAATCACTTTTAGATTGCTGGTAATACAACATTGTGACCAAGTTTCTGATAGAAATTGTTTACTTAGGCTAATGTAAATATCAAGAAGGTTTTCGTCGATTATGACCTTAAGCTTTGCCCTTGACCCTTTAAAATGTAATCACTTCCTTAGTGACCACTTTGTTCACGGATCATTGTGACTAAGTTTACGAGTTCTTGATCAAAACTGCGGAGTGTAGGCTGTTCAAAGACAAACAAACAAATTGTAGGCTTGCGCCAAATCTAATTAGTAAAACTTTCTCCCCCTACGAGAGTGGTCAAAATATCCTCAACATTTATATTAGGTGGGTCGACAGACTGTAGTACTGGGTTGATAGTGGTTTGTAATTTTCACATAACCTAACAGACCCATCTTTCCTTCTTATTGTAGCTATCCCACTAGCCTATTGGCTTCATTCCTCAAAGCATTCTGAACCCTAATGGTTTGCTGATTATAGGTTTTGAATCATCCTTAGGCAATTACCTTTAATATGCTTTACATGCCCCAACTCGCCATCAAAAAGAAATTTATGTTTATCAAATACTTGTTGAAAGGATCTTTACTTTCTAACTATTAATGGCACGTTGATTATTGTGAAAAACTTTTTTTTTCCAATTCAACTTACCTTTAACCAGCCTCTCCTCCAAGGAGAGGATGACTTATATTAGCGGCCATACATTGATGATTAACGACCATCTTTGTCGCCAAATTGGTAGATACCTCGTTATTATAGGTAGACGCAACCACACAAAACTATTCAAACATACTGCAGCTGTGGTTTCTAATAGAATGAAGGTTTATTGTCGTGCATATTTACACAATTGTAATAATCAATGTTAACACATGACACAATCAATTTGTTTGTCGATCGAATAGTTTAACAGTACACATACAATTAATTTAGATTCTTTTTTTTTTGATGGTCAGTTTTACGGGTCAAACTAATTCATGTTATCATAAATATAAAAAATATCATAGGTGTGGCAATATAAATATTACCGATTGTGGTTGCTTCCCTTATAAACAAGGCTACGAAACTCTCGGTCGTTCTGTATCTTGTCTTGGTCCTAGTATTTGGAAATTATCTATACAATGAAGCCATTTTAAGTACGATACGGTAGCAATTAATTTAAAGAAGCTAAGTTAAAGAATAAATTAATAATAATCCCAGGACTCGTTTAACCAAGCATCGATAGTTTTTGGAAAATTATTAGCGCAGATCAGGACAATACGTAATCTCAGAATACACAATTTTTTGAATGATTTAAAATGTTCCTTGATTGATTGTACTTTAACGTGTACACTCTTACATCACCTCCTTTCTTGAGGGTGTAATTTTTTTTTTTTTTTTTTTTTTTTTTTTTTTTTTTCTTTTGTTACATTAAGAGAATTAGAATTTTGAACAACATAAAAGTCATTAAAACACATTTCAAATGTCGGGAAAGCTCATTTCCCGCCATCTAGGAATCAAAACTTTTAAGGGGGAGAACCCCTGGACCACCCTTTCTTTTTGGGATTTATCGATTTATAGCAAAAAGAATACGCATGCAACTACTCATTTGTTTATGTATGAATACATACATAAAATACAAAATGAGAAAAATTTACCTGACTGTTTTCAAGAGGGGAAAACCTCGA